TCCCAAGCTAAAGCCACAGACCTCCTTCCTCGGCCCCAAAGTCTACACCGCGAAACAAAAACCCTATGGGCCTGAAGCCTCCAGTGGGCTCGGGCGAAGGGGCCAGCAAAGCAATGCTCATCTGAATAGGCAACCTTCCAGTGGCTTCCATGACCAGAAAGAGACCAGCCAGGGCCTCAAGCGCCTCGTCCGAGAGAAAACTGAAATGGCGCAAATGGAAGCCGCCCACTGAGACAGCGCTGCCAACACGGTATTTCTTGCTGAGCTGCCTCAACTCAGCAGGAGAAAAACGTGGCATATGCAGCGCGAGCTCAACAGGTCCTAGAGGGGGGGGGGGGGGGGCGAACCTTCGCCCCACCACGACTGAAAGCGAGCGCCTTCAGCCTTGAGCAGGGAGCGCGGGTCCGCTCTGGCCTCCCCAAGGGCAGACAAAGTGGTCGTCGGAAACCATGGCGGCGGGTCCCGAAGCAACAAATGCGCCGTCCTTCCTCCCATGTCCAACCCTTCCCTGACGAAATCCGGCCAACTAGACCCATTGGCCTTGATGTGCTCCCTTCGAGCCCCCTCAAGCCTGGGCTGAGATCTCCAAGCAGCGCGTCCAGCGCCTGAACAGAAGCGCACAAGGTCGAGGCTCCCCCGACCTTGGAGAGAACGTCGCTGGCTAGATCACCAGCTTGCCGAAACAAATCAGGATGCTTGCGCTGGGCTGCTTGAGCAGCGACAGGCGGCGAAAGAAGACTGCGAGCAATCGCCGTCACCTGCGGCTTCTGACATTCCAGCTCCGACTTCAGAGCCCTGACCTGCGCGTCTAGCCACTTGGGCCCTCGAGCGACGGGGTCCTTGGGGCGCGCCGAGGCCTTGAACAGAGTCCTTTCCCCCTGGCCCCATAAACAAGAAGGTCCACCCCCAAGGCCCCAACTAACTCGAGCTCCGCTCTGTCCGCCCAGAGCTCATAAACATCCGACAACAAGCTAGCGGCCCCATCTCCTTCCCCTCTCTCAACGCACCGAACAGCGCCGTGAACCAGGCCCAAGCAACTTTCCCAAGCAGCGCTGTCCACGAACGGCGCGGGGCCGAAGGGGGGGGGGGGGGGGGCAGGCGGCGGATGGGGGGCGGCGAAAGCCGAGAGCCTTCGGGCGCATCAACTGCGCACGAACCCTAAGCGTCACAGGGCGATGTGGGTTCAAACCCGCGCCATGCACAACCGAAACCTGCCCGAGCCCTTTCGAGGACCTGTTGGACACGACAAAACAGTCAAACCGCGAAGGCTCCCCCGACCCAGGGAAATGAGAATTACCTTCCGTGCAATTCAGTTGTCCTCCCACCTGTTTGGCAAACCCTAAGCCTTCTAAAGTATCGGGCCCGAAGTTGAAGCCGCCCCCGATGATGTACACCTCCTCCTGACTAGTAAAAAAAGCTCCCAATGAAGCCAGGATCTTGCCATTGTGTTCGTCTATGCCTACACTATGCTGCAAGTAGGAGCGGGCGCAATAAAAATGAAGCGCTCGCTTGTGGATGAACCTCGCAAACAAAGCTGCGTCCAGCCTCGCCCTCAAACTCTGGAACGCCAAGCACGCCGAGCCACGAATGTGCGAAGACAGCAACCCCGCAACGGTCACCTCCCTGCGGGCCTGGAATGCCGGGCTGCCACATGGACTTCCATCCTGCACGAAGCAGAGCGCCTGAAGCTCTCTGAATTTGCTCCTGGTCACGTAAACGATGCTCTTGACATAAGACGAGTCTACCAAGATTTCCTTCATGGTACCCCACGCGTTACAGTTGACCGCCCAGGCTTCCAAGGCAACCCACTGCGCCTCTCTCAGACCGACCCTAGAGACCGACACCAACTCTCCATCAGAGGAGTGAGAGGAGGTATGATGGGGCACTAAAGGAACCTGTTGAGAGTCGAACTCCGAACTCCCAAGACAACCACAGTAGTCCCGTTTCAGCATCCTAAGGGTAGCCTCTGTGAGAAACGATCTAGGCCCAGCTCGGGGCAACTTAAACATAGTGAACAAACTGCGAACACAAGCGTCTAATTCAGCGAAAGCCCTGGCCTCTGAAGGCCAAGCTACACGTGCATGAACTGACGTGGACTCACTCACTGAACATTCATGGTTTGACTCCCCCCTTTGCCAGAGGGGGGGGGGGGGGGGTCCGATTCGAAGCCAGCTCAGCCGCGACTTGGTCGCGAATGTCCGGCTCTGCAGGGAGGCTCTTGTTGGCGAACATCTGGAGAGGCTGAGGCCGAAGAACCACCCTGCCCTCCTCCAGCACGAACCCCTTCGCACTCCTGACCTCCGCCAGCAGCCGATTGACCATCACCCCCAGACTTTCGCTTCTTCTGTAACCGAGCTAATTGTTCTGTATGGGCATTCTTTGCATCCTCGTACTTCTTGATGGCCTCCTGAAACAGAGATTTAGCAGCGCCAAGTACCTTTCCAGAAAGCTCATGACGACGACTCTGAATGTGTTCCTTGTCCTCACTCGACAGCTCGTACTCTCCCGCATCCTCTTCAAACAGGTCGGAATTGATAAGCTGGTCGATCGCCGCCTTCCCATCACAAAGATCTTTGAGAGAAATAGCTGCCTTCGAAGTCTGAGTTGTCGAGGTAGGCTGAAGTTCGGCGACCGCTTGTTTGTACTCAGCATCCGTTTTTGCCAACTCTTCGTGCATCTCGGACACTTCCTGCCTCTGCGCCTCAACTTCAGACCACCATGTTGTAAGCTTAGTAAACTCGCTCTTGAAATTCGTTTCAATCCTCCGGACTTTGGCATGCGCTGGCTGCACACGCTGTTGCGGACTGACTTCGGGAGGATGCTCAGAGCGTCCCAAGGCCAGCGCAAGTTGCTTGTACTTCTGCGCCTGCTCGGAACCACCTGCCTTCGCATGAAGTGCGGCCAGTTGATGAGCCTCTGCAACAGATAGCTTCGGCACCTCACCCACTGGAAGAGGAACTGGTCCGTCCTCAAGTGTATGTGTAGCCGTCCCCGTCGCCGTAGAGGAATCCCAGCCCTTGCCTTTGCCGAAACCGAATCCTTTGCCCTTGCCGTGCTTGCCGCCACCCTTGGAAGTGCCCTTATAAATGTAGCGAGCGCTCTCGTCGGAACTGCCCCAATTGGATGAATCCGAATCGCCCCAGACACCTCTAGCAGGTTGGGCAAAGGCTTCACGCACACGCGGAAGGGGCGAATAGCAGTGCTTGCGCCGCTTGAAATACGGAACGTTACGCTTGCATCCACAAGTGGGGCAGACCACCTTGGCCTGGTTTGAGCCAACAGCATCGGAACCCTGCTGGCGCCACGGAGGATCAGCCCACCCACCACCGCCAGAAAAAGCACCCCCACCCCGCGAAGAAGGGCTGGGCACCACCGGCCTGGTGTAGGCAGTGAGCTTAAAAGAGGAATGTTGCACAGCGGGCAATGCCCGCACAGTAACGAAACTGCTGAGAGCGTGGGGCCGCAATCCCCAATACCACAAAAAAACCCTAAGTCCTGAGCCACCGCTACGGACTTGAGCCAAAATGGCTTGAGCCAAAATGGCTACGAAGAGCTTCTCCTCCTCCTCCTCCTGCTCCTCCTCCTCCTCCTCCTCCTCCTCCTCCTCCTTCTCTTCATCCTCATCCTTCCGTAGCTATTTGACTCAAACCATGTTGCTCAATGTGCACTTTCATGGGGCCCTACATCTATCAAGCCCTGTCTTTGTCCGCGCGTCGATGGCTCCGTGGTGGCTATCTGTCGAACGGCGAAGTCATAATGTTTGTCCTGAATGCTGCAATATATTGGGATCCTCGTCCTCTAAATGTTCGACAAGTCATCCGGTACCGTCCTCAAGATGCTCGGTAAGGCCTCCGGCTTTCCTGGCGGTTTCGTCGTCCAAACTTTCGGCTTGTGATACGACTTGAACTGCTTGGCAAGGTCATCTCCGCCATCTTCCTCTGACGGTGCTGTCCTTGCTGGAGGGGCTACGGTTCTCCACCCTCGGCGGGTGTGTGGTTACGGTGTGTGTGTGTGTGTGTGCGTGTGCTCGGCAGTGATCTTGTATGGCTTCCTGGCATCGCGCTCGCGGACGGGCCTGCTGCTGCTCACCCTTCTACGTCGCCTCGTTCGGATACTACGTCGTAAAGGTGGAGATGCTCCGAGTTATTCCTCCTCCTTCATGCTGAATGGGGTCGCCCGCCGTAACGGCCTAAGTTTGTGCCACCTCCTCCTTCTCACAGAAATCTGTTTTCTTTGGACTAAGGAGGTGCGTCAGGCTACGACGCACGCCGCTGTGGGCGGCTCTTGTGCCTCAACGTTGACGGTTGGGGCGCACGCCTGCGCTGATGATGCCCCCCACTGTGCACCCGCCATCTGTGATGCTTGCTGCTTGCCGTCTGTGCAGACCCGGCCAGCCGCCCACGGGCGCGCCTGCGCAACGAAACGGGCTTTGGCCCCCCATCCACTTTCCTCGTCCCCCCTGCTCCCCATAGATGATTCAAGGGGCCCTGGGACACACAAACGAATACACACACACACAAATCACAGGATTCCCCATATTTTTAGATTTTTTATTATATTTCTGGGGAATCGACGATGAATTTTATCTGTGTTTGTTTCCCTCCTGAATGAACCAGCAACCGTATGAACAGACACTTTCGGAGACCCGTGCAGGGCTCTTGGGTCGGCGCTGGAAGAGCCGCCAGGGGTTCCGTCATCGCCGCCGCCGCCGCCGCTGTCGTCGTCGTTGTCGTCGTCGTCGTCGTCGTCGTCGCCGTGGTCGTCGTTGTCGTCGTCGTCGTCGTCGTCGTCGTCGTCGTCGTCGTCGTGGTCCGTCGTCGTCGTCGTCGTCGTCGTCGTCGAACCCTGCAGGCCGGTGCTGGGCATGGTCACTCCGTTCCCCGGGGGCGTCGTGGGGCGATCTCGGGGGGCCTCTTGGGCCGTGTCGGGGCGTCGGGCTCTGCGTGGCGGAGCTCCGAAGGTGTAGGCTTCTGCCGCTGTGCCCGCCTCCAACCCCAGGCCTGGAGCGAGACCTGTCCGCACGTGCCTTGGGCGCGTCGGAGGAGTCGTCGGAGGAGGCGCCGTCGCCCTCCTCGTCCTCGGCGCCTTCTCCGGCCTCCTCCTGTGGCGCCCCGCGGAGGGCGGCGAGGGAGGAGCGGGGAGCGAGCAAGCGAAGAGGAGCGAGGAGCGAGAAGGAGCGAGGAAGAGAGAGGAGTAGGGAGCAGCATGGACAACACGCAGGAGCGAGCAGCGAGGAGGAGCGAGGATGGTGGAGCGAGGACGGTGGAGCGAGGAACCCGGAGGGGAGGGATCGATTACTACCGACACCGCTGCCCATTCCTCGTCGCCACTACTGGACTCGGCTCGAAAGCCCGGGGAAGGTCGGGGGAGTGCTGGTACTGGTATTGGTGCCACTTCGATCTCCAGGAACGAGGGTGGAGGAGCGAGACCAGCTCGTTATCCTGAGCCGTTCTCGTCGATGGCCCCAGGGGCCCGAGGAGGGCTCTGGAGGCCTGAAGACTGGGGAAACCTTCAAGACCCATGTCCCCAAGGATCCATCACCTTCCCGTGGGCGATCTCGGAAACCCGGAACCCAGAAACGTTGCCATCCCTTGGAGGCACATCTTTTCATCCGCCCAGAATCCGCCGGCTTCCGCAGGCGGAAGCGGCCTCGGTTTACTCCCGCCGACCTTCCGCCGCCCTTCCGCCGCCTTCCGCCGAGGAAGAGGTGACAATGAGGCAAGGCCATCTTCGGAACGACTCGCGTGGAGGCCTCCCAGGTGGGTCGGAGCGCACGGGGTTGGAGGATCGAGCCGCACCGCCGATGCATCGGCGACGTCAGGACCGAGCACACTGCACTCTGCGTCGCGCCGCATCGTCGCCGAGGCATCGGCGATGCGGCACCCCTGAGGCGAGGGGCGGCCCTCCAGGCCACTTGCCCATGGGCAGCGCGCCCGGCGCGAGAGGTCTGCACGCCCCCGTGGGCCACCCTGGGCCTCACCTGGGGCCGACCCCCTCGTGCCTCGATCGATCGCGGATCGTGATGGGCTCGTTTCCCACACCACTACCACTATAAGTTGGAGGGGGACGGGGTCCTCCTCCTCCTCCCCCGCCTCCTCTTCGTCCTCCTCCTCCTGGTCCTCCACCTCCTTCCCCCCTCCAACTTACGGTGGTGGTGGTGTTGGAAAACATGGCCAATCAAGGTTCAATGGTCTCGTCTCCAAGAACCCGCCCTGGGAAAACGAAGCGCACAACCTGGGGCAACAGAGGTGACTGAAGCGCGGGATGAGCAGGGGAAGGACATACCCAAAGAGGGAAAGGCAGGCCAGCTAAACACGGGCTAGTAGTGAACGGTGTGGGGGGGGGGGCACCCAGAAAGTTTGCAGCGCCTACCCTGACCACCCACCACCCACCCACCACCCACCCATCCCCACCCCACCCGCCATCCCGCCCGCCTCCCCTGCCCACCGAAGCTTCACCCCGTCGGGCGCCTCCCTCCTTCGGACCGCGTCTGCTGGCCTTCCGCCGGCCCCCGCCTGTGGGGACCTGTGGGGCGGCGGCCCCGCTCTCCCACCCTCGGGGCGAGGCCCACGCCGAAGCGGCGCCATGCAGGCAGAAGCAGAGTCCGAGACCCCGCCGGGTAATCCGCCGACCCCACAGGCGTGTGAGAGATCCTTCCTCGCCCTACACCGAACATGCCTTGACACCGCGTTTCCACCTGGACCGACACTCCCCACCCTGTGGGATTTCCGCCTCTGGGCCCGTCCACCATCCCTCCTCCGTCCCAGTCCAATCCCGGACTCTACCCACGCACCCCCCCTTTAAGCCCCTCCGTGCCCCGGCATCCCCACACTTTGGCTATCTGTTCTGAAACCACCCAGCCGGCCACTCCTGGCCCAGAACCCACCTTGACTCCCCACCTGCCCCCCCCACCTGGCCCTCCACCTCGAATCGGCACCCCCACACTCTTGCTATCTCTTATCGGGACCCCAAACCCGACAATTCCTGGCCCGGAACCAACCCTGACCCCTCATGCCCCCCCCACCTCGCCTCGGCACCCCCACCCTGAGCCATTCATTTTGGGTACCACCCGCCCGACAATGCCTGGCCCTGAGAACCCGTCCCAAACCCCCCACCCCGACCCCCCACATGGCCCCCCCACCTCGTTGCGGCATCCCCGCACACTCTAACAACCCCTTTGGGGATCACCCACCCGACAGCTCTTGGCCCAGAACCCACTCTGATCTCCAACCTGGCCTCCCCACCTGGCCTGCCGACCTCGCCTCGGCATCCCCACAACAACACCCTGACCATCTGTTCAGGGGACCACCCACCCAATAATTCCTGGCCTGGAACCTGACCCCTTCCTGGCCCCCCGACCTCGCCTCGGCATCATTTTTCTCTGGCTATCTGGTCTGGGGACCACCCGCCCGGCAACTCCTGACCCAGAACCCACCTTGACCACCCACCTAGCCCCCCCCTCTGGCCCTCCCTCCTGCCCCCCCCCTACCTCGCTTCGGCATCACCAAACTCTGGCTATCTGTTCTGGACACCACCTGACCGACGACTGTTGTCCCGGGACCCACCCTGACCCCTCACCTGGCTCCCACCTGTCCCCCCGCCTCGCCTCGGCGCCGCCACTCTGGGAGCACCCACGCGACAAGTCCTCGCCCGCAGCCCACCCTGACCTGCCCCCCCACCTGGCCTCGCCACCCGGCCCCCCGCCCCGGCACCCCCACATTCAGGCTGTCTGTTTTGGGGGCCACCCACCTGGCAATTTCTGACCCGGAGCCCACCCTCACCTGGTCATGCACCCACGTGGCCGCAGAAACAGTTGCATTATAATGGGTCTGTTGTTCTTTGTGTTTGTCGACACTCTCGGTCGGTTTCGAACTGCTTTGATTTTCGTTGTTCGGATCCCTCGTTGGTTTCGACCTGCTCTGATTTCTGTGTTTCAGTGACGGCGTCGACGACGACGACGGCGGCGACGACGGCAGCGACGAGGATGGCGGCGGCAGCGGGGACGGCGACAACCATTTGAAATATTCGTGGCTTTTCTGGTCTGACTGTGTCTGACCAAATTCGCTCCTCATTATCCTCCTCGCCCCTCTCCAACTGGGCGCGACGCGCATTCCTTTGTAAATTAGCTGGGCTGCGACAAGCGCGCCTGCTAACATCGGGCCAAACGCAACGCATGCATGATGCGTTTTCTTCGCGGCGCTCTTTGCTTTTGGCAGCCCGGCGCGCTTCGGGCACCCGCCCCCGCAGCGCGCCCCGAGCGGTTCTCGCCCCATGCGTTGCCACCTGAATAAATCGACGCGCCACCCGCCCACTCGTTCGCGCCGCCGCGCGACAGCCTCCGCGGCCAGCGCGGGGGTGGCGAGGGCGCAGTTCGAGCCGAAGCTGCGCATCCCCCTCGCAACTCTGGCAATGGCGGCCTCGATGGATCATGCCGCTCTTCTTCTGGTGCCGATTCGCTCACAGGAACTCGGGGGGGGGGGGCGCGAGGGGCGACGGGGGGGGGGGGGGCATGCGAGGAAAGTATTTCCTCGCAAGCCCACGCGGAGCCCATCGGCGAGCTGCCGACAAACAGGCGGTCGGCAGCGCTCTCGAATTGACTCCAACTTCTGGCGCCAAACCAACTCGCGCAGGCAGTCCGCGCACGCGCGCGCGCAGGTAAGGTGCTTCTGGCGGCGCTGGAGGCGTTCACGCGAAAGCCCTCCCTGCGCGGGGGCCACGAGCGCAATCGGCTGCAAGGGGCGCTCTGATGACGGCAGCGCGCTGGCCATCTCGGGCCCAAAAAGGCGGCGCCACTGGGAGAGTGGCCCCACCGCGGGCGCGCGAGCGCCGCTGCTTTTGCCCGCCGAGGCACCCGCTGTGGAGCCCGCGACAAGCGCCAATAAAGCAATTTGACCCACTCGCATGTCGAATGATGCGGGGCGCCTCCGTGGAAGCATGCAAATGGAAAATTCGCACCCGCTCGGGACTGGGGCCTCGCCGCTCGCTCGCCAGGCCGCCCCTGAGGCGAAGGGCCCTTGCCGCGGAAATATTCGCGATGTCGCCCCTAGTCTCGAACGCGCACGGCTGGGTTTCGGCGACGGAGTCAAACTGGGGCACGCGCGCCCGCCCGCTTTCGCTCGTCGCTGGCGCTCGGCCACTGGAAAACGCCTCAACCATGTGGCCCAAGGACCGCGGCTCGCGAAGCAACTCCACGTCGCGTTCCGCGCCTCCTTCGCGCCGGGGCGGACCGCGCTCTCGTTCTCAGTGACATGCATCTTCTGGTTATGGTCTAGGTCCGAGATCCGGCGCATCATGCCGGGCTCGAGCAAGAAACGGGCGTAGTTGGAGAGTGCTTGCGCGGCGCCTGGTGGATCTGCGCTGCCGCTTGCGCCGCCGAGGCCGCCGCCCCCACCCCCGGCGGGAATCGCGTCGGTTGCCCGCAGCTAGCATGCGCCAAATAAATGGCCCCCGACGCCGCGCACGTCGCATGGCGGTCGCTGCATGCGCCGGCGGCGGTGATATTATTGAGAAGGCCTTCGTACTCCAGTGCGCGAGCTCGTTCCGAATTTAGCGCGTCATCCCCGACTTCGCCGAGGGGCATGGCCTCGCTGTCGGCGTTGTAGTAGTGGCGCAGCTCTAGCGCTGCGATCAGAGACTGGAACTGCACTGCGCGCACCTGGGCCCCCTGTGGCCCCCGCGGGGGTCGCGCCGACTCGTGGTCCAGGACGCGGCCCGGCGCCCCGCGGATGCGATCCGCCAAGAACATGAATTATCCCAGTGCGACCCGACCTAGGAGTTGGAGCCTCTAGGAAAGCAACATTAGTAGGAGCGGTAAACGCCGCCCTCCTCCTTCTCCTCATCGTCGTAGTTGTAGCAGTAGCAGTAGCGGCAGTAGTAGTAGTAGTAGTAGTAGTAGTAGTAGTAGTAGTAGTAGTAGTAGTAGCGCCAGAAAGGCCGACGCCACGACGTAAGTGAAGCAACAGCAGAAGCAGGCAGCAAGTCGCCGAGACTGCGCTATGCTATGCTATGCTATGCTATGCTATGCTATGCTTTTGCTTTGCCTTCGGTTTTGCCGTCACTTTTGCCTTTGCTTTTGCTTTTGCTTGGCACCCAGGGAGCGCA